AATCTGATGAACAGGAATTCCTCCAATCGGGGCTGTTATAATATGAGCATCGGAGTGAGGATGAGCAAATAAATTAGCGTCTTCGATACTGAATGTGATAGACAATTCCGTTTGTTAATGGTATCTCGAATGTCAACATTCATGACTCGTTTCTCGGCATTCTGTGCTTCCCGGGCATAGGCTTTGACATTCCATCGAGACGTATCTAACTGTTTGTTATTGGAGTTGACTCGAGGTATGCAATGTAAAGAGTCTAAGGCATCATGTATCTTAGACTTCCCGCAGTTATCAGTCGAGGTTCCAACATGGGTAGAAAATGTAAAAACCTCCTTATCATTTGCGCGAGCTCTTTTCTGGTTAGCGGGTCGGTTATCTTCATCTTCATCGTCTGAAAAATCCAAGGGCCTTCCTTTCCGGCGGTTATCAAAATTTCGAAACTTTTGAAGTTGAGGTTGTCCGATTAAGCGTAAGAGTGCCGACAAAAGACCGAGACACTCATCGGTATTGTGTCCGGGGGACTTATGGTATGCACAGTACCGAGTTTTGTCCAACTTGTCTTCAGGGGTTCTCACAGGCCTAGGGTCTGGGATAATTCCTTTTCCTTTCAGTTCTTCATATATGGTAGCTGCTCCGGCGGAATAAACGACATGATAACCTGTCCTGACGTTGTCTGAATACTGATCACGAGCAGCCCGAGACTCTGGAGTATTTTCATATCCTTTGGAGGAGTTTCGAAACTGTGCTTTCCCAAAGTTCTTCTTGTTCTTCTTTTTAGCGTCCGGTTCAGTCTTGCTTTCTTTCACCGAGAAGTCGAAATTGGGAACTGACATCGATTCTTCGACAATAATAAATTGTTGAGCTCGCACAAGAAATTCTTGAAATGTAGCAGGTTTATTCTGACACAGGGTCCAACGAAACATCGAGTTGGGCTTCAGTCCAGCAATGGCAGTTACTAACAAAGTTTCAGGGTGACAAGGCTCCATGTTCTGAATTCGGTCGTTGAACCGAGATACGTAGTCTTTAACAGTCTCGTCATCCTTTTGCACAATGTTGGTGATCGATTCTTTCGGAATAAGGCAAATTTGAGCACCGATAAAGTGTGATCGGAAGGCCGCTCGTAACTGCTGCCACTTCCAAATTGAATGCGGTGGGAGAGTATAATACCACTTCTGTGCTTGTGGCCCCAGCGTAAGAGAGAACATCCGACATCTCAAAGCATCTGAGGCCCCATGTAAATCCATCCACGATGTATAATGACCCAAGTGCGCATCTGGGTCCGAGGTACCGTCATACATGCCAATTTGTGGAATTTTTACCTTAGCTGGAAGCGCCTCTGCGGTAAGTTCCGGAGCTAAAGGGGAATCCACCTCAATAATGACATTTCCCGACGTCGTGACATGTCGGGGAAAGTCTTCCTGCGACTTCTGTCGTGTCTCAAGTTCAGCCAAGCGTTTACGAAGAGTTTCAATTTCCTCGGCACTATGTCTTGAAAGACGATTTCGTTCAATTTGGTGCCGCAGATCTTCGCGAGCGTGAGGCGCTGATGGAACGGGTCTAGGACGTGGAGAAATTCTCTGGTGATGAGCAGAATGACTTTCGGCAGTCATCTCCTGCACAGGGGGCTCCTCCGGGGCTTGATTGTTCATTATTGGGTTAGCAGTTACACGAATCAGCTCTTCTCGACGTGGAGAAGTACGGTGAGGTTGCGACGTAGCATGGGATGTTGCCGCACGTGTTTCAGGATCATGGCAAGTGTGGGTTGGATGTTCTGTTGGGTTAGTGGTTAACGGCATCGATAACGGTACCGTATTTGAGTTCCTGGGCATGGCTCGAGCTATCAACGAAGTTAAACCTTGAATAAACTCCGGGTTTTGAAGAAAGTTTGGGATATTCGTGACCGGAGGAGGTAGTGTTGCACGCCGTGGAGAATGGTTAGTCGATTGGCTCTGGCCAGGATGAGTTACGTGGTCTCGACCAGACTGCGACATGATGGATTCGAGCGTAAAAATGGCTTAAAAGCGAAAGTTAACTTGAAAACGTGAAGCCGCCCTTCCTCTAGCGCCAAACTGTTGTCAAATGAAAATGAACAACTATATAATCGATAAGGATTTGGAGTAAACTAAGGATAAATCACTAGAAGCTTATATGTTTTATATAAGGAGATGGAATTTTCTTGGTTATTATTATTGCATATCTGTCTCTCTTTTTTGGAGAACTGTTTTCTCCTTTTATATTTATGCACAACATTTATCTGTAAAGTAATCATTACATTTGAAAGGTCAAAGGCGGCTTCTTGCGATTTCTCAAGGTCAAAGGCGGCTTCTTGCTACTTCTCTTGATAGCACGCCACTTGGACACACGTAATGATGATTTGTGCTGAGTTGTCGCCGCCTTACAGTGCTGAAGTGGCACATCATAGATATCGGTTCATCCAGTTATAACCGATATGTTGTATCCGAAATGTAGTGACCGACAGGTGATAACAAACATGAGATATCGGTCAGGTAACGGAGATGTCGGTTCTTGGTGAATCTCTTGTTATGCAATCGTCTCGAAGTCTGTGGAGACATCATGTACTTGTACGAATTTTAATTATCCTCACACTGACCTTAATCGTCTAATCAACGTTGCTTAACTTGGTTCATTGAAAATGATATCAACAACAGGACCACCTCGTCGCCACCTATCCGACCGCCATCACCATCACTGCGCCGGAGAATCCGTGTGAAGATCGAGTTACCGCCGGAGACGAAGATCGTGACCGGAGCTCACATGACAAGCCACCTGGAAGTATTCTGTCCACCTGGAAGCAAGGTACGATCACCAGGAGTCGAGTGAGACGCCGGAGAACACGTCAGGAGTCACGAGCAGCCCTGAAAATGCTGTTTCAAGCTCCCAGACTCACACGAGTCGTGTGGCGTAAGACACGACTCGTGTCATTCTGACGGGTCGCCTAACCTGCTCTCGACTTTCTTACACGACTCGTGTGTCCAATGACACGAGTCGTGTGACCCTGGGCTCAACTCATACGCGTTTTGCGCGTTTTTCCGATTTTTAGGGATTTTTCGACCTATTTCGACTAGGACTCGACCAGAACTATTTAAGAAACACTTGGACACGTTTTTTAGGGGTCTAGAACCTAATTTTCAGATCTTTGGAGAGCTTTGGAGGCTAGAAACACGAGCAAGACGAGGGAGAAAGCCCGGGAAGAAGGGATCGACGGAGCCGAATAAGCTTTTTCTTTCTTTTTCTTTTCCTCTTTCGAACTCAATGTTTTATATTTATTTTGAAAGCATGTTTCTAGGCTAATTTATTTTGGATTCTAGGATTTGTTAGTACTCGGATTGATTTATGATTTAGTTTTTATTTATTTCATTCCGGTTTATCTTTCGTTTATAAATTTCTTGTGCGTATTATTATTGTGTGAGCAGACGGCCGCTATGAATGCATATTGTAATTGATTTGAGACCGAGAGGAGATAATTGATTGCTAGAATTGGGAAATTTATAACGTAGGAGACTAAACAGACCGAGAGGTTGATAGAATCTTACGAGAGAACAAAAATCCTAGGAACTTATGGGAGTTAGTTGTTCATCTTGAGACCGAGAGGAGATAGATAACAATTAATATCTACGATTTGCTTGTTCGAGAGAAAGGTTGAAATCACTTTAGCGATTATCTCTACGATTGGTAAAATTAAATAAGGTTTGTATGAATATAAATGTTTCATAAATTAACTCTGAGGAAAGCATAACCTAGAATCTATCTTTTATATCTTGATTTTTTTTATTGTTTTAGGTAATTAGTTTCTTAGTTTAATTTTCTAGTTCATAATCATCATCTCCTTCGTTAGTCTAAACAATATTTGATCGTTATTATTTTAGTACTTAATTAATTTAACTACAATCTCTGTGGAATACGACCTTGCTCGCCGCTTTCTGCAGCTACTCCGTACGCTTGCGGGTAGTAAAAATATTTTGCGAACAAACTCAAAACCAGTGTGAAGAAGATTCAAGATCTACTTTGCGGCGAAGACCAAGGTTTGTGTTCTCCGCGTTCTTGGGATATAACGACGTTTGATCCGAAATCAAGGAGTTGGCCCTCGAATTAACGCTAATTCAAGTCAAAACGCTCCAAGACTTAAAATTGTTCGTGAGAAGAATCAGAGGAATAATAGAGATTGTAACCGACTATATTATTTTGATTCGAGAAATTCATTTGAATAATATTTTTCGTGTTTTTTAAATTCAATACACGAAATTTGTTGGTACAAATTTCATTAATAAAAAAATATTGTGTAAAGAGAAATATTAATAATATTAATAATATATACTTTTTCATTGTTTGTATTTCGTTTATTTCTCTAATGAGATGAGATGTGAAAAATTTAAACAATACATTTAAAACACAGTCCAAAAAAAGTTTATAATATGAGCTCCTTCGTGCATCAGCACGATATGCACTAGTTCATAAATAAGATTTTTATGAATGAAGAAGAAGCCTATGAATGATTAATGGAGGGAAATAGAGGTACCTACCTTCGTATTCATTCTAATCTAATTTAAAGAAAAAAAAAAAAAGGTTAAGCATGCCAAAATATAAGTATATATATATTTGTTGTCAGTTGTTAACTTCAAGTGGTAGGAAGATATAGTTTTCCAGGTTCCTAAAACAGGTCAAGTGTACCATCAATCAAACCTCTTTTTTTTCTCCAATTTTCTCAATGTATAATATTTTCTTTCGTAGATGTGAAGACAATTTTCAGTATTGGTAGTTACTATTTTCAAATTCAGGTATCTTTACTCAAGGAGAATTCATATGGACGTCAAAGATGTGTGTTATTTATTATTTATATTCAAATCTCCTTCCAATATTCCATCATATATCTACTCTCCTCTCTCCCTTCAATTCAATCCTCTTATCTCTTTATTCCTTCACATTTTCATATGCAGCTTCGTAATCAGAATTATCAGTAAACAAAGTGTTTATGAATCAGGCTGATGGAGAGCAGGCAGCACCGATCAGTGTGAGTTCATTTTGATTATTTATTCGACATGTCCTCGTCGGTTTCCATTTTGCCGAAGAAGGCCTCCTCATGTTCTCTCATTTAATTTAAACACATAGTTTGCGTTATACAGAGACGACACCTACAGAAGAAAGCTACAGAGGATGAGAGTGAAGAGCAATGCGTTGAAATGTTTGGTGAACAGGGTAAGTAGATCCAAATTCCAATCACTAAAACTGCTTCTAATCGTCATCCTAGTCGCCACCTTTGTCACCATCCGCTCTTTCCCGTCCGCGTGCCCTCAAAGCAGCGAAGTTTCTCGGTAATTTTGTTTCCATTTGTCTGTGTGCATCCCTTGGCTTGTTTGTCGGTTTAGAATGATGATGTGTTGAATAAATGCAGGCGGGTTTTCGTGAGCAGGTGGTTATGGGGAGGACCGGATCCCCGCTACGTTTCGGATCTCGTCATAAAATGGGACGAAATCACGAGCGCCCTCAACAAGCTGCCCGACAAAATCGAATCCATCGGCCTCGTTAACTTCAACGAGCGTGAAGTCGAGCAGTGGAAGCAGCTGAAGGTGGCGAATGACTCGAAAACAGTCACCATACATCTGGATTCCGCCCAAAGCAACCTCACGTGGGAGTCGCTGTACCCTGAGTGGATAGACGAGGAGCAGGAAGAGGTGGTCCCCACCTGCCCTTCACTCCCACAGATTGAGATCCCAAGGCAGCAGTTTGACCTCCTTGCCGTCAAGCTTCCTTGCCGTGGCGGGGAGTGGTCGAGGGACGTCGCCCGCCTCCACCTGCAGATATCGGCAGCCCGTCTGGCGGCAGCCACCAGTCGCCAATTGCATCTGCTTTTCCTCACCAAGTGCTTCCCGCTGCCCAACTTGTTCCCGTGCAGGGATTTGGTTGTGCGCCAAGGTGACGTGTGGCTCTACAGACCGCGCTTGGATGAGTTGAGAGAGAAGCTCCGGCTCCCTGTAGGATCCTGCGAGCTTGCTCTCCCCCTTGGATCTGTAGGTAATAAGTTTGATTGTTTTTATTGAGGAGAACAATGTTTTTGGGCAGCTTTGTTAGATGTAAAAATGATTTTTTTCACAGAAGATAGAAATTACGAGTTGGGAAGAAAAAGGGTGCGGCGGGAGGCGTATGCCACGATCCTTCACTCGGCCCACGACTACGTGTGCGGGGCAA